AAACCGCTTAGAGAGGGCTGAAAGCCCTATGAAGCGGTATATAAGTCTAACTGCTATTGCTATTGTTATTTACTGTATAAGCCTAACGGCTAACAATTCCTCTCCTTTTTTAACATTTAAACAATTTGCATACCATTAGCAATTTGAATACTATCCAGATTTGTTTTGAAAAATATACATTCTTTCTTTGAGCATCTCAGAATGGAGTGAAACCATAAAGGTTGCACCAATTTTTTTTTTTTTTTTTAGTTATGCCCTTGCACACTTAGCTTCAAGCATCTGATTTTGGTCTTATTTAAGACATGAATTTCCATTTTATTGAAAGCAAATGTGGTGATTTCCAGAATAAGGACATGGGACTCAGAATATGAGTTTCCCAAATAATATTGTGAGTTTTGTATTTATTACATAATTATCAATTTAATATTGGGGGACATGATCCTATTGACCAAAATCTTGGGCTAAAGAATAGTTCTGTTTGCAAATTGTTTTCTTCCATACCACGTCTTCCTGCATACCCATTTCCTACTGATATCCTCAGAAGTTGCTCCTGATATGTAAATAATGTGTTATGCAGGAACTGGACCTGACTGTAATAAGCCTTCATTTAGGCCTCCCTCTGTCCTTGAAATTCTATAAAGGAGAATTTTACTGTATTAAAATGTGTTAACCTCAGAAACAGTGACTTGCATTTACAAATGATTAAATCAAAACACATTCTGTCAGGTTTTATCTATCATACAAACTGGAGGGGTTTGAAATGATAGACCGCTCAAAGCTAATTTTATGGACCGTAACTGTCAGTAAAAAAAAAATGCTGAATTATTTAAAATTGCTCTTTCGCAGAAAGATTCTGCATGTGTGGAAGAACATGATCCTCTAAAACAATCAGAGAGTAATCACTGCATAATTTTTTCAAAATAAATATCTCAGACCTAATACTTGTCAGCCGCTATTATTCTTCCTCCGGAGCAAGGAAAATAATATTTAATTTCCTCTTGGTAGTTCGGCTCTATATTTATAGTGGATTATAAACAGACAAGATAAATATCCTCTATTATGAAAAGTACTAATATCACATATTGAAAATAAACCTCCGTTCCTGCAGAGCTTTTAGCTGTTGGCAGGAGAGAAGAGATATTTTTCTCCTCTAGAGTGCTGGACCTTGAAGTCAATTGTGGATTTTCTAGGACTGCTGAAAGTCTTTATGTAAAATCAGGAGTTTTATGCTGAGTTTGGAAATGTTACTGTTTATTCTGCTGCCCCTTTATTCTGGATTTCCCTAAGCTTCAGCCCTGAAAGGACCGCTTAGAATCCCTACTTCCTTGAAGAAATAGAACTTGTTTTGAACAAGGGACATTTGTTCAGATCAGTTGTTGTCTCTCAAGGATTTTGTTCTTATTTTCCCCATCCCCTCCCCCNTATTTTTTTGTCTGTATCCCCCCTTCCCTGGTTTGAGTTGTGAGCCGCCCTGAGTCCCCTTCGGGGGGAAAAGGGTGGCATATAAATATAATAAAAAGCAAACAAACAAACAAATGTTCCCACTTTCCTTGTGGAAACTTGTTTGGCTTTTCTCTCATAAGTGTAACTGATCAAAGCCATTTGAACAAATTTTGAATTTATCTTTCCCACCTCTTCTGCACATTGGACACTGGGTGCTCAAACTGCAAGAATATGTCTATAAAGTAATTTACTACATAAAAAGTCATGGCACTTTCATGTTTGTTGAAGATGAAACTTTTATTACTTTATTCTGGTTGGGGGGGGGAGTGGAAGAAATACTTTGTTTTTTTTTATAATGTTCTACCTGGTTTTGTATCAGCATTATTTTCCATAGTAAGTAAAAGTTTTAATCCGTCTACTATTTCCACTATGTTGGTAAAATGAGATGTGGAGTCTATGAAAATGCATGACAAGTATTGGTTTAGTTGTGGGTGTGGTTCCTTCTCAGAAAAGGAGTCAATCAGCTTCTGAGGTTTAGCCTGCAACCAATTAAATGATTTAGCTTAAGTGGACATAAACACTTGAAGCGACAGTCCGCTTTGGAAGTAGAGCAGAAAACCACTTCCCAAGATTGCTTTAAAATTGGGAATTAATAGACGGTGATATCTGTTTCTCCAGAAATGATTGCCGGCATGTTTTGGTAACGGGCAGTGTGGCTAAATCCTTGAAAAAAAAATTCAGGAAGTTTGTTTGTCAGGAAGTTTGAAATATGTCACATTTCAAAACCATCCCTCCCAAAGGGACTGTGAGTGGTATATAATAAAACAGTTAAAGTTTAAACAGTTAAAGGTACAATGAAAACTCAACCATGTTTGTTTTTTTCTTTTCATCTTCTTCATTTTTAAATATTCCATGAGGGTTTTTTTTTAATGATTCTTCCCTCTTCATAGATTCCCTGTTCCCCCCTACTCCATTGGTATTGATAAATTTATGCCACTAGTAAAATGATGCTGAACTTGCAGGGGGAATATATTTTGTTTGGTTTAATAAAGCACACCCATCTTCTTTTTCCTTTTGATCCTTTTTTTATGACTACCCCAAGAGGAATGTACTTGAATTCTTATCCCAGTCTAATGTGTTGCTGTAATCAGCCTTACACTCCATCATAACTTGAAAGTTTTCAGGGAACTAATACCTCTTGCAAGTCTTGATTTATGTTTAATAACATTCTTATCGTGAAAATAGTCAAAACTTTATTATTTGTGTACACTTTCGTTTAAATCATGTTTATTAATGATGCCTAGTGATGAAACATAGCATTTAACACCTCTTCTTTTTTTCTCCCTAGTCCTACATTTCATATATTTTCAGGATTTTAGCGTTTGCAATTTCCTAATCTGTTGCCAACCACGGCAAAATGTACAGTAAATGTTTTCAATCTCATCATGTGAGCTTCAGGGTTCATTTAAAAAAAAGAAATACAATAAATACCGGTTTAGTAAATATATGAAGATCTTGAACTGCATGCTGTGGTTTGAACCCCAAAGGGCAGATAAGCAAGTTAAATCTGTGCTGTTGAATTATAGGATTCCTGGATCAGTTTTTTGATTGTTACCATAATCCTGAGAAAGGAAAAAAACAACAACCCACAATTTATACTTTTATATCTGCATGGAGTGTTGAAATTTAATATGTAATTGAGAGTATAAGTTGGGGATCTACATGAATTCTGTCCAGGATTCTTTTTTGCATTCAGAGAATCTCGTCATGATGGATGCTAGTGAAATGAATTATCAATAGCTTTCCATTTTTTTTTCCAGGGAAAGATATCTAGAGGATTTTACATTCAGGATTTTGTTTACCAAGGTGGTGCAGTGGTTAAATGCAGCACTGCAGGCTACTTCAGCTGATNGAATGTGCATCTTATACTCCGAAAAAAATACAATAACTACTTTTTTTTCCATATGGAAAAATTCAGCATATCAAAAGGGAATTGGATTGGGGAAAGATTTGACATGCCGGCTGTGTCCAGAGGGAGGAAACCTGTACAAACAACAGTACACCAAGTCTTTGCTTTCTGTGTACGCTGAATAGAAAGTCCAATCAAGCTTCCGACAATAAAAAAGAAAAAAAAGAAAAAAAAATCACTTTGACTGTAACCTTATATTTGCCGCTTGCTCTCTCTCATCAGTTTTTATTTTAAATTAGTTCTCTTCATTTATTTTAAATTAGTTCTCTTCATTTCCTCATAAATCAGGAAAAAGGTAAAAATCTCACCATGAATGGCAGGCTCTCTCCTGCACTTTCACTTCCGAAGCTGTCAGCAGTTTCACCAGCCTTGATGGCTGCTTCCTAGCCGTTGGCAAAAGGGCTATTCCTGGATCACCAGTGACTTTGCGGGTGTCTCTGGGATCGGCAGGATATGCCCTTTCCTATCACCGTCTCTTCAGGACGGTTTAGGTCCAATTGGACCGTCCTGAGGCTGGAATTTCGGCAGCGATCTCGGAGCTCTGAGATTAGCCGCCGTGTCACCGCGACGTCAGCTCCCGATCAGTACACCAAGTCTTAAAATCCCTCATATTTTGGTTCAAAAATGTCACTCACTTTGTATCCGTTTTCTTTGGCAAAATGCAAGACCATTGATCTTCGCTCGTGCGTCGTGTTGGTGGCGTCAAAAACCTGTGGAAGGAAGAAAGATAAAAAAGATGTCAGACGACTCATTTTTGTTGGTTGGTTTTCAGGAAAGAGGAGATAATTTTTTCCACGATCCCAACCATCTTTAAATTAAAACTAGTTCTGATAACCCAGTGTTGCCTGGGTATTTATTTTTTAGGGGAAAAATATCCAAATCAAACTTAATTTCTAGCGTTGGATTTTCTCCCTTACCAGAGGGAGCCCCTTTGTGGAGTATTGTCAAGCCGTTACCATGGCAACTCCACTGAGCTGTACACTAGAAGCCATTTTACGGCATAACAGGCTGTATCCTAACAGAACACGCACCCTGAGGGGTGTTAGGGGAGTCTTATCCCCAACAGTATTTGTTTCCAGAGAGTAAGTCATCTGTGTACCAAGTTTGGTTGAAATTGCTCAAGGCATTCCAGAGTTATGCTGGAACACACACACATTTTTACATATATAGATGAGCAGAAGATTGGTTGTTTTCTTGCAGACGTTTCATTCATCCAAATTAAGTAATGAGCGCTGATGATGTTACTTAGCTGGGTTATGAAACGTCTGCACGAAAACAATCAAACTCAGGGAGCACCAAGGACCCCTTCACATCAACCCCGAGTCACAAATATTCTCCTTTATTGGAACCACAAACTTGAGACTCGGGGATCTTTAGGGATTCCTGCAAATTTAAAAACCACGGGGTAGAACTGGAGGAGGTTCGTTTATTTAAATCAGGCTCCCCCAAACAAGGACACCTTTCGCAAGATGTCTTCTCCAAGTGTTGTGGCCCAGCAGGTGCCGTTGGAGCTGCCACCAGACTCCGACAGCGTGGGGCCCTCTGAGTTGGCT